CTACTTCGCATCTCTACACTCAGTTTCAATCGCCATAATACCCCCTTATTGAGCCCGACTTTTGCCTTTAAAGCAACAGTCCCAGCAGGGTTTTTACCTTCGACACTAATGGTGTGGAACGATGCGCTAGCCCTAGTCAAGAACATAAGAAGTGTGACTGAACAAAAAAAAACTCACCTTGGAAAGCCGCTAGAAAGGGAGCTGAACGGCTTCGAAGTGGGCGTGGTTGCTCAGTCGGCTGCAATCCCCTCGGCCGACTTCCAACCACGCCCACTTTCCAGCGGCTTTCCAAGGTGAGTTTTTTGTTCAGTCACACTTCTTATGCTCTTGACTAGGGCTAGCGCATCGTTCCACGCCATTAGTGTCGAAGGTAAAAACCCTGTTGGACTGTTGCATTAATCCATTCTAAAAGCAAGGCAGGCGCTATCGCAAGATACGGCATCCTCTAGGACCAAGCCTGGACAAACTCTTCAACCACGTCAATCCTCTATTGCGAAAAGTCTTGTCATTGTGCTGCTTGGACTTTTTTTGGTACAAAGAGGGGCAACAAAACCCACAACATAAGAGGAAACAACCAGGACACGTCTAGGACCTCCTTACCTGTTGAGCGTCATTCTCGCAGGTGAAGAGCTGGGTGAACTGTTGCAGCTTTAACCGGCGAACGTCAACCAATTCAAGACATCTGAAAAGCGAAATGGTCATACAAAAGATAGAAGTTTTTTTTCACCATCACGGATAATGGAGAACCCAAACACGAGCAGCACCCCTGTATAGTATTTTTGAGTTCTTCTACGCTATTATATACTCTAATTCCGTATAACTTATTTATGATTTATTCTACCTTTTCCTTCTTTCTCTGGCAGCCGAAAGCTGTTCGCGTACGTGAATAATTCCGGCCATATAGTCTCTTACGACACGTTTTCCATGCACGTTCATCTCTTCGGCAGAGAGGTCCTCGATGAACGATGAAGCACATGACGTCACACTCTCGTACGTTTTTTCTAGAAAAGCCTACTTTCAGACAAATCATATCAGCACGACTACATTTATCAACATATGGTAAAGAAAGTAGTGATGGAAATTGTTTTTCGTCTTCCTGTAAAGGTAGAGTTTACGATGGAAAAGCAGCCATTAGAAATGAAAGTAGAGGTGGTGAGTGGTGCAGGAATGAAGAAGAAACCATGAGAAACGGCCCAGAACCCGAGAAATGGGACCCCTTCCTTGCCCGTTGATTTCCGCATTGATGCGACTCTCATCGTGCTGCCCTCTTCAACGCTAACGCTCTCTCTGCTAAACGGCTAGGATCAGACGGATAGAGGGTGGGCGGGCAGCGGTACGGTGCAGCGGGTGTGGCCCTGCTCGGCCGCTGCCGCTATCATTCAATTGCAAAACGCGCATCGTCACGCACCCTTCAGGATCCCTTCAGGCCTTTCGACTGTGCATATTCTCCTTCCTCGATCAATTTTTCTTGAACACTCATTTCGTAATCGAATTGTGGGAAGGATTC